ATTCTTTTCTTTTTTTTTTCTGCCTATGTCCACGCTTCCTTGTCCAACGATGACTACACGCATGATCACGTAAGCAACAAGATATAACGTGAATTCGATTGAATTCACGACGTGAAAACGTGAGGCGGTGAGTTAAAGCGTTAACACAAAGAATGGATCCAAGATACAATAGCGGCGATAATCTAAACTTTATTGATGCAAAACTTGTTCACGAAGACTTTTAAGGTCATATTGAAAAAAGAAAAGATCTTTTTGAATTCATATCACGCATCGGTGAAACCAGAAAAAAAATTTCGGTAAATTCAGAAATGCATGGAATCTTGTGAAAGTTCCGAAAAAAGACTTTAAAGGAAAGGCTCGTGTGATCACGATCGTGCAAGAGATGATCTCGGAAACTTTATCGCCGGTTCCTCTGATGAATTAACATCGCGAGTTGTGAAATAAAGTTGCGACAAGTTTGAGGGTCAAAGCTAAGAATGGTGCAGTGCAGGCCCTTGCCGTTTGCCGTTAATTCCAAAGATCCTCCACAACAAGGTGTATGACATGGAGACGCAGAAATCTTGTTGTATCAGACAGTCTATACTCGATTTTATTGCCAGTTTTAGGTTTATTATGGCTAGACCAGAGAAGTTAAGTCTTTTTTTAATGTCCTGACGAAAAACTCAATGTTGCGGTGGTGTGACGACGCTAACTGCATCCGCTTACAAAAATGCACAAGGCTGATTATGGGTTTATTATTCCAAAAAAAAAACTTTGGAATTCGCGATTGATGTCCAATTAAGGATGGCACACATCGTCACGAGCTTTCATTGCCCACTACCAAAGAGATTGAAACAGCGAAAATTCCGAAATCCCGAGGTTTTCCCAGACTATCTCAGAATGGGTGGGGGTATCGTCAAATAGCCGAATTCCAAAAGATTATCGGACAATCTATTGTCGGATGAAATACAACCTTAACAGTAAAGAACCCGTGAAAGTCTGCAATGCTTATGTATGTTTAATACGGGTTTTTAATATAGAAAACCCCAAGCAGAATTTCAGGAAAATCATGATTATCTAACGAATGCAAAAAAAAAAGATCAAATCAAGAATTTAACCGGAATATTACTGGTCGAGGAAATTCACTCTGGAGAAATACAATACGTGTAGATTCTTTGGTTGCGATGAAATTAATTCAAGGAAGATCCGGGAAAATCTAATTACGTGCGTACGTACGTATGCACATGTCGAACAGGATGTCTGGATACCGGTTTTCCAGAGTCGATGCAAGAGATTTACGTACGTACGTTACCATTTCATTTTACGATGACAACGCCAGAAACATTTGAGTGGTGATGGCACCGATGTAAATCCTTGACAAAATTAACCGAATTCTTGAAACAGAAAAAATTTTCTCATGAACATTATGGCGTGGAGAGGGAAATCAATTTAATGTGTTCCATGACGTACTTACTTACTAGACTTTAATTAAGTGCATAAACGGGATAACAGCGCAGCATTTATTTTGTCCGAGAAGAGAAGAAAGAAATCGTTATCCATAGTGAAATGGATAAAAACCAATAGTATACGGTGGATGACGTCTTTGTTATAAAATTTCCCAGAAAAGGCTGTGCAATGTCAGATTTCTTTGTTTCGAGAGAGAGAATTTGAACAAATGAGCGTGTGTGTGTTATACATAGAAAGAGGATAGCGTGTGTGTGTGTTATACATAGAAAGAGGATAGCGTGTATGTGTTTTAGAATCCACCGCAGCACAGTTTTTTGGTTCAAACTATTTATGGTATGTTGTTGTTGTTTGTAAAATGGGTGTCTTTTGGAGATATCAGAGATATCACCATCGACAACGAGTCGTCACCCCACGTCGTCCGAATACTCACCCAACCCCGCGCACAAGAACCCTAAGACCCTTTTTGATTAGTAGATTTTTAAAACGTCTGTACAATTCAGTACACCAAAAGATCTGACATCATATTTTTTTTTTTTTTCGCTTAACTTACACCTTCCGTTGGATGCTTGTGATCTGCTTGTGGCATATTTTAATCGAATTGCAGACTCCTTGATTTATCGATTAATTTCCTGGAAGTGCGTTTCAATGTTACAATATCAACAAAAAAAAAAAACTCTTAAAGTACCTTTCAACATCCTTAAAGAATTTTTTTTTTTTTTTTTTTTTTTTTTTACAATACCTGCTTGGATACCGGTTTGATAATATGATTTCACACGGCTGACATTGTTTTCCTTAAAAGTGTTCTGGTGATACAGCTTATAATAAGGACGGCGAACACCGGAACTAATTTTTGCGTAGTCTAACTTTTATGGGTTCAATATTGCCAAGTCAACCGTGTCAGGTCGCGTAATGTGTCATCGCTACATCATCCGCGTCTTTTGTACTGAAACATCTCCACCATACCATACAATGAATTTACTGTATTTACTCGTGGGCGATCCGTGTGGTTGCGTTAAAGCTCAAATTGGTGATCAATTTACAAGAGTGTCGTCTGACAAATTTAGTCAAGCGTACGGACCACCTCATTTTGTTTATTTATTTCACACACTCACGCAAAATTAATTCCGATGTGTACGTGCGTGCACCTAGTAGACCAAAAGTAAAGTATGCCGGAATTAGTAACACACGAGAGTCCCAAGAAAGCAAAGGAACAATGAGACCAAAAAAAACAATCCACAGAGAATTCTTTTTTTTTTTCGGAAAAGATTAAACCAGAAACCCCGCACTCATCAAAGAATAGAAATTCCATAAAAGGAAAGTGACCCATTATTCACAATGATGGTGATGGGAAACAGGAGACTGACCGGCCGACCGATCGATTCGATTCGACCGTGGTCATCTCCCCGTCTCCATCCATCCCTCAAGGATTAGGTTGAATAACCAACCTTGTGATCCGAATGTTCCTTGGGTTCATTCCAAGGTTTCCAATCTGCTTTCTTTCACGTATTCGATGGAATTCCGTGACGAAATGATAACATAATAATGAATGAATGAATGCCCTTTGTATAAATCACTTTCAAGTTTTTGCGCAACCTCACCTCCACACACGACAATCTAATGAAATTTCCGAATCAATGCTAGTCTTGTTCTCCTTGCGTAAAATTCATTTCATTAAAAAAAGATTTTGATTTAAGGGTTTCACCTAAAATGCTCTTAAAATAAATGAAAAATAAAGCCTTTGACGTATTATTTGTTTTTTGAAGAAAAAAAAAAAAGTGGAGAGAGTGTAAACAGATCTACAAGCTTAGGGGTGACACACTACTAAATCCGAATGATATCACACACACATGCGTAGGACAGAGCGTCGAGATTCGGGAAATTCGGTATTACGCGAATTGGTCCATTATGTAATATGTGTGAGAAAACGTGTTCGTGAGAAAGTTATGGTGGTCTTCACTTCAATTCACGGGTGAACGTCGTACGTCCGGCGAGGTACAACAGCAATTTACCGCCTTCATTGATAAATCATGCATGACTAAAAATGCATCAGGTTTCAGCATTTTGGATGAGAAAGAAGATCACATGCCATGTTCGCAATCACCAAAACCGTCGAACTAAGGTTCGATCTTTCCCGAAATGGAAAATAACGGCACGTTTTTTGTGATCTGAAATTGGTATTGCAAGCCACACACAAATTTCGCGAGGACGAAAATCCGATCATCGGTCAGACTACGCGACAATCTAGACATCGAAAACGTTACCACCACCACCACACTTTATCTCAGTCTTTTTTTACACACACACAAATTCTTAATGGAAAAAAAAAAAAATCAAGACATTATGTGACCGTTGTTCGTTTAATGATTCATATTAAAAAAAATAAATTTGATTATGGATTTGCGCTCTCGTTCTCAAACGTGTGGACAATCGAAGCACAGAAATTGATTAAATATAGATACAACCTTTCGTATAAGTAGTAATAATGTTTAGGTTAAGATGTAGATAGATGAAATCGTGAAATATCTGATTAAACTATTTAACTATGTAATTGTATTCGAAGTGATGACATTAACGCACGTCGTGTAATAATAATAATAAAAAAAAAATATTAGAGATAATACGAATATGGAATAGAATGTGTAATAAAATTTTCTCGGGCTACATCAAAATGATTATTAGCATACACAAATATACGATCGTTTGCTAATTTCGTGCTGTCGTGATGTACCAACCAAGTATGTACATATATCTATATATATATGCGAGTAGATCAAGTGATATGATGCTGTTGGGCATCAGAGAAAAAAGAAAAAAAAAGGATATACAAGAAGAAGGTGGCAATTATGGAAAAAACAAAAATAAGAGATAGATAGTTCGTTGTTTTTGATGAGGATAAGCGTGATGGAAAAACTATACAAATAGGTTAGTTAAAATCATATCGAGTTATATAATTTGGATATATATGTTGATGAAAGAGAAAAAACTATACAGGTTTTATCGCGAGACAATATGTGTGATGTTTTTAAAAAAAAAAAAATAATAAAAGAAAAAATATGTACGAAGAATATGGTGGAATAATAAGAAAATGAGTGATAGGGATAATAATGCATACTAATCGGTATGCCTCATCATCATAATAGCATAATAAGTAATTCCATACGCATATACCGCCACCGTTAAAAATAGTTATAATTTTTAATTAATTACAATAATAAATCCGCCAATGTCCGAGTAAAGGCAAAAAAAAAAAAAAAAAAAACTATAAAACGTAAGAGATAATATGAAAAAAATTATATTAGATGATCACTTGATCAAGATGCATGAAAATAATCTTTTGAGGTAGAGTAAATTGTTCAATTTGGTGGTAATGTTGGATGAACATTGCCACCTGTTTGATACGTCTGCAGGTAAGGTGTGAAATTGCTGAATGCTCTTGCGGTGGCGTTCTTTTCCTTGCCGTTTGGTCTGTGTACCCTTACATGTTGGCTGAGATTATCAGACCTGCTAAACCTCTTTGTGCAATGTGGGTGAGGGCAGTGGAACGCTAATCAATCGTTGAAGAGGCGAGGAGTTAGTGATTTGCAAGAGAGGTGGAAAAAAAATTTTTTTTCCTATAAAAAAAAAAAAAAATACTTACGCCGTTCAAGAGTGTGTATTGAGCGGATGTGACGTTTAAGATGTTCAGATCTCTTAAAAACTCTTCCACACTCGGGGTAGCTGCACTCAAAGGATTTTGTTCCAGGTTTCGTGGGCTTATTCGTCACACGTCGTCCTCTGGATTTTGCGATGGGCTTTTGCTGAGGAGGATGAGGTGGCATTGATCCCATGATTGAGTGGTGAAACTCTTGAGGATCCTGGATCATTTCTGGCAGTGGTGAAGATGTCATTCTACCTCGACTTCGACCTCGGTTGCATTGATCATTCACATCATTGTTCATCAATATCTCGCTAGGGACCAAATCTCTCTGGTTGTTTATGATGTGTTGTTGATGATGATGAGTCATCGAGAGACCGTTAGGCGACATGATGGGTGAGTCGATAGGTGTGAGTGGTGACGTCGAGATGCTCGACGGGTTGCAGACGGAGAGCTCGGGACAACTCTCTTGAGAAATATTTCGAGTCATGTAAATCGGACACGATTGATCAAGTTGTTCGGGATATTCCATTTTTATCTTGCTGTCATCCATGTTAAACATGCTGTAGCTGTCACTCTCAGGAGAAGGGCAGATGGCTTCGTGAGGAGAAACAAAGTTGTAATTTTCAAGATAGCGGTCGCTGGGGTCGGTGAGATACTCGGTGAATGAGATGTTTAGGTATTCGGGCGCCACATCAACTTCTTTGTGGTGTGAATGGTATGGTGATGTGTGATGAAGGATGGAAATCGGCGACACACCGGGAATCGAACATATGTCCTGACGAAAATCGATTTGTAAAAGCGGTGAATTATTCAGATCTTGCATATTTGAAAAGCGCGTGAGTGGTTCCATTTCTAAGTAGGTTCCTTGGAGAACTGGTTTGTTGTGAAATCAAAAAGTCGTTGGATAATCGCGTAAGAAAGATTCTGATTGTGGATCGTTTCAGATAGTTCTGATTTCTGCTGTTCTGAAAGCTGAGAGACGCAAGACAGATAAAAACTGTTGTCTCTTTGTTGTTGTTGTTGAATTTATGATATTGTTGTTAAACGTTAATATTCAAAAGATAAGAGAATTTGCCAAAAACTTGTTGCCAATTGTTGATAACTTCGTAAATGTTGAGATGTTTGTTAAACAAGAAGACGATTTTAGCGAAACGACAATAAGAGAAATTTTCGAAGGTAAAAAAAGCTTGTTCTTTAAAATGTCATAAAAGATAAAAAAAAAAAAAAATCAAACTTCAGAAAAGATTTTTTTTGAATGTTTTTTTTTTTTTTTTTTTTGTTGTTGTTAGATACTTAAAAAATTAATTTCTTAGACATACGAAAAAAAAAAATTATATGAACGAAAAATATAAGAAAATGTTTGATGAGAGAAAAAAAATTTTTTTTTTTTTTTTTTCGTATTTCCTCTTGACATTTAGAGCGTAGGCTTTTATATAAAATTAATGATGTTGTTTGCTTTTCAGTTTTGCTATAAAAAATATGCATATACATCAAGGACGTACATAATATAAATTGCAGTCATATACAGTACAGTATACTACAACTATTTTATAATACAAAATATTTGTGACATACTAAATATATTTTAATTAATATTTTATTTAGGAAGTTCAAAGTGATCACTCACTGAATCCAAAAATAACATTGACGTCACAAATTTAGAAGAATTTCTCTTAGTGATATACATGTATTCTAAACTAATACATGCCAACATCACTTATGTCACCTAGCTAAAACTGCAGAAATAAGTGATCTTCGTTGATTGGCAAGGCAAAAAACGTTGTTACACCTCATCACTTTGTTTCTTCGGGTTTGCTTCCCTTGACGACCCCAACCTCACGCATCTTTCGACTTACCTATCCGCGTTATTTTATTCTGCATGATCCTGGTGGACGAGAAGCATGCATGCATCATCATCATAGGCCCTTCTTCAAGCGTCGTCGGACGAGAGAGAAGAGAGGACGGAAACGATGGTGATTGTCTGACGGATTAAAATTTCTTGGCGACACGCATCATATTTTGACAATAGTGATGTGCAATATATTATGTATAACATAAAAAATCAAATCGCATTTGTGGTTCATTCCGGCGAGTTGCCGGCCGACCGGTGAGGAAAAAAAAAAAACATCGACACATACGTAAGATGTGCAAAAACTATGAGGAGCCATTTTCAAGGTGTATCGCCATAGTATGTATGACGATGAAATTCAGCAATTTGAATTTTTCACACATGATCGCCCCCAGAGTGTCGTCATCCGCTTCAGTGTTTCACAATAGCGACGATTCAATGATGCATCCCTGTGACATTTTACGCGGCCAAAGGTACTAGACCAATAATAACGGTTACGTAAAAATCCAAACGAGAAATTTCCCTAAAAACGTTCCACAAACAAATTATATAATAACATCGAAAAGATTGGCACTAATTAAGTACCAATTTGTGAATACATTGGAAACACCTTGAAAGAGAATATAGCAATTTCATCATTATACCTAAAGGCGGATGTAATTGTCATGTAAAGCGAACAGATTTGCACGAAACTAATATCATTATTATTATTATTATTATTATTATTGTTATTATTATTATTATTATTATATTATTAACATCATCATGATTATCGAAATCTGCGAGAACCCGGTCCAGCCACGACGTGTATTCTCGGTGAGTGTGCAAAAGCAAAGGTGGCGGTTTTTTTTTTTTTCTTTTTTTTTTTTCTTTCGGATAACCTTGACCTCACAATCAGTGACGATTTGACAAATCGAGTCAACAACTTTCTATTAGGAAAAAAGGCATATGCGAGTCACTGGCGTAGGAGCACAAAGATTTGCTCGGTCTTGTGAACCAGATGAATGCAACGTAAATTATAGCTGAATTCCTGATTCATTATCGTTCGTTAAAAATACACACATACGTACGCATGGTAACAATCTCTTCGGAGTCACACGCTTAACCTAAAGGTAAAAACGTGTTTAATCTAATATGTGCGTTTTAAATTCATGTGCCTTTGACTTATAAATATGGTAATATATATGTTACAGAGATGCACGAACAAATATAGTGAATGGTACAAGCATTTGAGATTATTCGTTTACCTTGAATATTATTAGCAAGGACGAAACGCATTTGATAGCCAACATGCACTTTATGGTTGGTAACAGGTCAAGAAAAGTTGCACATCATAATTTAAAGCACGTAAATCTGCAACAAGGTATTATTATATTATCATCGAACAACACCAAGGAAAAAAAACAAATCTTTTTTTTTTCAAACGCACGCATTCACCATTCGCAGTTATTTTTTTTTTTTGAAAACAACACACAAAAAGGCGGTTGTTGCAGTACCACCTTTTGACTTTATTCAACACTTCATTTCAATATTTTGTTAGTTGCATTGAACCACTTGTAGGATTTCGTCGAATTAGGTAATTTTTATTTATCTACTTTCGATCACGAATTTGGTTGGTTGTTCCGACAGAGACCATTATTATTAAATTTGAGCCTTCTATTGGTTATAGTGGAAATTACGATTGACATTATTGACGTTCTATTTAGTAAATCAACCAATCATCGATTCACATTTCGATACATCGTATGCTTGTGTGACTGGTCGCAATTATGTAGGGCGATAGGTATAGATAGAAAACGTTTTGTCAACCAATTCCAACTTTTGTTAACCCACTTTTAGTTATCAAGTAACCAGTCATCCTTTTTGTACCCTTGAGAAGCATCAAGTAATTTCATTCATTCATCAATCGGGCATAACGATGCCACACTTCCTGACGGGGGATCGTTCTGTGGACGAGGCGTATGCGCCTCTGCGCATCATCTCACGGGAGTGTTTTTGTCCGGACGGACCACAGCAAGGCTCGCGAGAACGTGATGAATAATCGGAATGCATACAAGTGTGCTAACCGATGGGTGGTGACTCATCGGTCGAATGTTCACATGAGCCGAAGAAATCTCTCTTTTTCTTGACACTTTTCTTGACAATTTTCTTGACAATTTTCTTGACGCTTTCTTGATGCTTCTCCTGACGCTTTTCTTGACGCTTTCTTGACGCTTTTCTTGACGCTTTCTTGATGCTTTTCTTGACGCCTTCGGAACATTCTCAAATGCGTGTCAAACCCTTGAACATTTCACATGCACCCCCCAAGGTTTCCTGGCGTGCTCTGTGTGTGCTAAGCACGTTATGTAGGTGGTGGTGCACAGGGTGTGCCATCATTTATTTATTGCACGTCCGCGAAGTGATTAGCGTGGATTAATAAAAAAGCATAGTAGAGGGGATACAAATTCTATGAACAAATAGGAAATCTATTTTTGTGTGATCTCTGTTGATAAATAGTTTGTAAATGTATGCACCACTTTGTGTATGCGATCGATTTAATTATGGTCGTAATTTGGATTGGTCAATAAAATAATTAAACAAAGATCCATTTAATGTCGCTCATTTGGCATCTGCATGACAAACTTGTGATCAAGTCAAAATCAAGTTAGTTTCATGAGTGATAAGCGGGAGGTGATGATTGCGACGAAACACATCTTCTGGAAGGATGTTTAATTTACTACGTACAGCACATAGTTAAAAAAACATCGAATTCCTCAATAGATTATTATTAATTAAGATGCGTCGTTTATTGTGCGGTTTCCATTTTAATAATAGGCGCCGGATAATTGCGCCGGGTATTGTAAACTATGGAAAAACATTTAAGATACTGTATGTATGAGGTTTGTTTTGATTGAAGAGCATTTAAAGTAAAATCAACTTTACGAATTTTTAAGGATTCTCGTCAGGTTGGACCCTTAATAGTTGTATGGAGAAGTACATCCTGATGTCATCGTGTAGAATATTAACATGATAAGCATATATTTTAGGACATCTCTAATACGCCGCAAATGTATTCATTAAGAAACTAGTGTGATTTTTTTTAGGGTTCTTCCTTCTATTCCCATTCGCACATTGATGTAAACTCGGAAAAATCGTGTTTATTACCTTGCAGGGAATTTAATTTTAGCAATGTGCCCCCATCTTTTGTGCTTGATGAAAAGTTGTATGCGGCGACGATGGATGGATGGATGAAGATGGTAATTCAAAAAGGTTGCTTAATTTCGGAAAAAAATATACACAGATGTTCATTCATTCATTCATTCATTCAGTTGATGGGAAGAAAAAAAATTTCATCGGAAATATTTATGGTGATGCCAACGATAATCCTGCGTGGTTGTATGAATTAAATCATGAGTTGATACATAAATGAAAAAATTTTTCTTGTTCTCTTATAATTCGTTAAACATTTTTTATTATTCAATTACTGTATATACATGATTTTACATTGATCACAATTTTCCCGCCTTTTATGCATCTCCAAAAACGGATAAATGCGAGCGGTTTAGCATGGGCACTTAATAGCATATCAATATGCTTGTTCTACTTATCACATAAAATAAGAAACCCCTCCCTCCCCCTCGCCATTTACATCATTGTCGCTCCGTTCTCATTTGCAATAATCACAAGGTTTTCGTTTGTCGTTATTATGCAAGTTTCATATCAAGGGCATTGGGCGGGCTTGTATTTCTTTTTACTCTTATCACCCTCATCTAAATAATAATCGGCGAAGTATCACGTGTAGTAATACTGGTGTAAAGCCACCTTCCGAAAGTGAGTTAGTTCTTGATTTTACTGTGTTCCACGCCCAATCCAATGAACTTCCGAATAAATCACAGAGCACCCACGTACGTACGTATCATCAGACCGGTGCTACATAGCGATATCGAGGCTTTTGATTTGACGTACTAAGGGAAGGTGTCATGTTGCGTGCGATTCTAATGATGTAATAATCCATTGTTGACGCGAGAAATTGTCGAATCACGCAAAATCAAATGCCAATGTACATTCTCTTTCGATGTACATCAATCGGTGATGTCACCGGTCACTGATTGATTCTCTTTCAACAAACAAACTGTCAAATGCAAATGACCCGAAAGCGTTGTCTTTCTAACAAAACCTGGGGGGGAGGGTTTCATTTACATTCACGTCACGAAATGATTGATGATATAATGTTTCTCGACGTTTTTTCATACATCGTTTTTTACTTACGAGTGGTAATAGCATCGAATTGGGCGTATATGCGTCATCGGGTATCATCGTCTACATTCAAATGGCTCTGAGAATGGAAATTGGTTAAAGACCCTGGAATAATGATTTTCTTCATATTGATTCGATCACCTTCCATGAATAACAAAAGACTCTGGGCTTATGGCACGCAAGGTGAATCACGACGCGGAATGCGCATATCTAAATTTCATCAATCACGCGATAATGGTGGCGTTGCTTTGTTTATCGAAATATCCACAGCAACGTACAATTATGTACGCACGGGTGTACAGCTCATCCGTTTAGGCAAGTTACCGCTACCGTGCGTTTCCACCCACGTACATTTCTTTTCACCGCCCAATTTACTCAATCTTGAAAATTGAGCTGAGCTCGTCGTAGCAAACCTTGAATATAAGGCCATTCCGTATTTCGCGTGTGACACTTGGACGCTGGAGTCCATCATCGAGTACCAGTTTGTCAAAGCTGCTCGAACCCTTCTTTTTGTTAATCATCACGTGAATTATGATGCCGAGTTTTTCACAGACGGGTTAATTAGCTGAGCCGAATATTTTTCCGACCTCTTAAAAAAAAAAACCTTGTAAACTTTGATGCTAACGAAAATTCATAATCATACACCTTCGGACCAGAATTGTCGGTCAAACGCAAAACCAAAAAGTCAATTTGCGCATTAGCTTATTAAGAAATTTGATGTTCATCACTCGAACATCACACAGCACTTCTAAAAGAGTTTTTATGCCTACGTTTCGAATAACGCAAAATTGGTTTTTTCCGTGTTAATACTGCTCGATATAGGACCTTTGTATACATCGACTTCCGATATTTTATTGGTTCACTTGGACTAGCCGGATTTGGCTAGCAACAACTAGCGAGTTTACTCGATTTGGCAATCAAAAAAAGTATTTTCAAAGTAAACAACGGCATCAAATAAAACTTGGGTAACAAACATGCACTCATCCTTTCGACGAGCGAATGCACGAAATAGTGATGTGATACCTACGCTTTTTTCATTTGGGCGGACCCGCCAACCAGACACCGGTCGTGAAAGTGAATGTCAAACAAAACAAATGGTCAACAAGTAAAGCCAAGGGACGGATTATTCTTCCTCAACAAACTTGTAGAACATTTTAATTTTGGGCACACTTTCGTCGAGCAAAGAAAACAAATTCACAAACTATTTGGATTTTCGGAGCTATGACAATAACAAACGTCTACATAAGGTTATTTTTGTTTCCAAAATCAATTGGTTATTTATCCGTCTCAGAGCACGAACGTTCTTTACATAATCCAAATGGTAAGATAAGGTAAAATTCTTAAAGGCGACTGGTGGATCCTGCCATTTACGGTTGATACAGGTCCAACTGTTCGTACCGAAACCAAAATTCGAAATAATCAATTGATGTCATTCATTCATTCATTCATCATTTCGTTCGTTCGTTCGTTCATCATTTCGTTCGTTCGTTCATTTATTCATTCGTTCGTTCGTTTATTCATTCGTTCATTCATTCATTTATTTATTCATTCATTCGTTCGTTCGTTCGTTCATCCGTTACATTGAAGGAATGATGATATACCGGTAAGGAAAACGGAATGATGGCATAGAGTGAGGAAAACGGAATGATGACATATACGAGTAAGGAAAGATAAATGATGGTTATACGAGTAAACGAGTAAGGAAAGGAAAATGATGGTATACGGGTAAGAAAAGGGTAATGATGGGGTACAAGTAAGGAAAGGGAAATGGTGGTATACGAGTTCGGAAAGCGAAAGAAAAATTTTTTTGGAACAAAGACTCATTCATTCATTCATTCATTCATTTATTTATTTATTCATCGATACATTCATTCATTGATGTTTCAAACGAGCTTCCTTCTCGAATTTTTCGAAACGTGATCAACCACCATTGAACCACCCGTCAACATTGAAGTGCTTCTTTTCCGAAACGTTAATGAACGATGAACAATGAGTCCTCCAAATCAGGTAACCCGACGATCCACACGCGGTCTCTCAGACGCTTGACATATTTGGTTTCATTCGAACGCTCGAAAATGGATCGCGAATGTCCGCCGCAAATCCGAAAGAAAGCTGTGCGTGCGTGCGTCGTACCAATCCTGTCGCGCATGCAAAGTACCGGTTAATTACAGGACGGACGTCAATCCGCACTTGGAGTTTGAGCGTTCAACGCGAAAAATGATAGCTGGGTGCGTGTGCTTGCAATTCCTGAGCCAAGTAAATCCATGCCCGAAATTCCGTAATAAAGAAAAAAAAAAATGACACTTTTAATCATATCAAATCAGAAATTAATTAATTAATTTAATTAATTTAATTTAATTAATCGGTCATTCTGATAAATTGGAATAGTGTGATGATGCGTTTCTATGCTATTGGTTGGCCAATGGTCGACCGGTTGTGCATTACGTAAAATAAGATTAGGATGGTCAAGCGAGACGCCATAAATATTGCCTGTTACGGACATCGTTATTTTTAGCATGAGAAATTTTTTCATATGTTGAGATTGATAACCGAACGGGCAGGTGACTTCTTACAGTGAAACAATTGTGAAAAAGCATCTCTATGCATTGCACACGGCGATTATACAAATTAAAAATTATCAAGTTCTTTTTGAAAAGATTCGAACCAATTGCTAATGTGAAACTGCTCTTAAACATCTTTTTGCATTATGTAACCATTGCCACTCATTCCGGTGACGGTGGAACGTTCGCCCGAGGAATGACGAATTTCATTTAAAAATGATGACGATGGGTAGCTATACTCTCAAACCATATATCATGATCGTCCCAAAACCCGAATTTCAAAGTAGGTTATCTGTGAGCTTATCTGTTCCCAATATGGCTTAGCACATTCGCACTCATACGAAATATATCGGGTAAATCATCGTAACATCGTATGATTCAAAAGCGTGATGCTTCTAGAGAACCCAAAACCTTTGTACCTCTCTCACCAGGCATTTCTTTCCTGCCACAGCCAGTTATGTGAAAGTTCTCACAAGACCCATCGTCACGTGAGATTGGACGTTACGTCAAACTGACGAAGCGAACGAACAACATCAAGATGGATGCATATCTTGAACCACGAGGATCCCCATGTTACGCATGCGCAATGGAATTAGTGAACGAATGGAAGAAAGTTACACGATTAGAAGAATGTTGTTGCTACCTTGGTGTTACGGGACACGGAAAGACGGATATGGACGGGACGGTGCTAAATGAAGAACAATTATTCTTTGATTTCGTAATTCAGGAATGGTATGTTACTTAAAAGTATATAAGAATAGAATGTGAATCTCGTGATCCGGAATTCGAAGATAAGTCTTGCGCTATTATGCGCTGAGCAAGAAACATGCGGTTTCTAATTTCAGATTCTGAGAACACAAATTACATAAGTGGCATGGGATGGATGAGTGGATGGATGAGTGAACAAGGTGATTTGCCAAGAAAAGGTGATGACATAAATCTGGTTTTGCTCAAAGAAGGATCCTGACAATTTCTCAAGCATATCACCACGGTTTCAGCCGACATCACCATCACCACGTAAGGAAGAATTGTGTGTTGTAAGGCACCCTCTTACCATGCCGAACTCCGAAATCATGTTCACTATCTTGTGATCGTGGACTTCTGAGATACTACTACTGTTCAGACATGGTTCATTCATTCATTCATTCATTCATTCATTCATCCATTCGTCCATTCATCCATTCATCCACTCACACATTCATACGTCCATAAATTCATTCATCCACTCTAATTCACCTTTTATACACCGTAGGTACGTACATACAGTACATGTATATACAGCATATAATGTAAGATAAAGATTCGATTCATATGCAGTAGCTTTTTTTTCTTTACCGCGGCGATGATGATGCACACAGTGATCAAACAACGGGACAATTGTCACCCCTCCCTCCTCTCTTTCCCAAAGGAATTCGGTACACACGGGCGTGTTTACACATCACGTAATTGAAATGTAACCTTGAATGAACTTCAAGGGAGTGTTGAAAAGGAGAACACCTTTTTTCAATTGAAAATGGAAAAATTATGCGCACAAAGTTTACACACGTATCATCTTTTTTTTTTTTTTGATTTTCTGATCGGAATGGGATAGTAGTTGTTAGTTACTCTTAACTCTCTTTTCGTACTTTGATTACTTGATCCATTGGCTTATCCTTGGAAGGAATGCCGCAATCTCAAGCTCTTTCACGAGGTGTTAATCGTCAGGCCATGCATGAAGAGTAATCGTGCCCATTATTCCTAATGCGCATTTTTTCGATAAGTAAACGGATGAGTATCACCAGCTCCAAGAGTGGCATATTGGAAAACAGGGTTACAGATATGGAGCGGTGGGAATCATGTACTGTACTGTACTGTAAACACACACACGCACACATGCACACATATCGATATACGCACAATAAAGAAAATAAAAAAAGAGATTTCCATTTTCCATTTTGTACATATTACTTGGTTGAGTATTCACATTTTCCCCCACAATTTGCTCTTTTCCTTTTTCAAGTGACATACGATTTTCTGTCAAACTTTAAGTTACGTCACGAGAGCCGCTCTCATGTTGTGATCAGGATTTTCCGGATACTTTTTTTTTTTATCCTTGTGACACTTTTTGTATGACATTGCAACCTTTTTTTTTCTGTTAGAAAAAAGCTATGTGCGCGATTAATGCTAATGCGATCAAAATCACTTTTTTTGGAAAAGGTACATCATTCAACAGGAAAATGCCGCTACGAGTTTCGAGGTACAAGTATTTGAAAAGGAAATTAGAATTATCAAATTACTTTTACAAACTTGGAAATATTCATCTCCCTTCACGTCCTCCATTGAGAGCATCGGAACCACAAGTTCCTGGTCGGCAGACAACGAGAAGCGTCGTGAGTCATCCGTACGCCATCACGCTCCACGCTGCATTCGAAACTTTCCGGATCTAGACTCTCAATAGAAAAGACGAGTGTGAAAAAAAGAAGTCGAGAGGTCAAGTTTTTCTTGGATGCTCGCTCATCGAGAAAAAGAGTTCTTCCTGATTCTGCTTGCAGAACTTGGCGTAAATGTGAAAGAATTATTGTCTGTGGGGCATATTGATCATGTCATACAAATTTTTTAAGTTGGAGAAAACAGGCGGCGAACAAGTTATGGTATCATTCTAAAAATAGCCAATAACAAGCCAGTAATCATCGACCCTCCACGTTTGCAATGAATGAATGAATGAACGATCGTCGCATAGTGGCAAATTCATATTTACAGTAGTAATGATAACATAATTTATTATTATACCGTGTGATTTACTGCAACAGAGTCTCTTAACTCAAAAGAAAGCCCATTATTATTATTATTAACATACTAACATACTAATTTATGGTAAATAGTTGATAATGTTAATAGTTAATAATATTATTAGGTCATAATAATAAATAATAAATGATAATTAATAATAATAAATGATAAATAATAATAATAATAATAATAATAATAATAATAATAAGTTCATTTATTCTATGCAGCGACATCGACTGACAACGCAAGTTGAAATTTTCGAGAGTCCATTAGGCTATTACGATCTTAAAGTGCATGTGACTGGACTCATGTGCCACCTTACACCGTGAATGAGTGCGTTGCAGAGGATCTTTTGTGGATAATTATTGACTATAGTGGTTTAACGCTTTTTTTGATCAGGTCTCATAAGAAAAAAAACTTGAAAACTTCCTGACTGTGTAAACATTTCGCCGTGACTACATACACTAGTAAAGTAACGATGACCTAATGATGAACATGCAATCCGAAATTATTTTCTCACTTCGACCACAAACGTGTGCGTACCCGTCATCGAATTGAAAAGATAACTTGAAAACCCTTGGGAACCTGTATTCCGTGATATCTTCGTTCAACTTCTGACCATCCATTCAAGCTTGTGAGGAGAAATCCATTTTCACAAAATTGGGAATATTAAATCACCTCTACCGCTTGTGCGACCAAAACATTTAATATATCTGATAACATTCTCGATGTACACACACAAAAGAAATATGTGATCCTGTTTGGCGCGATATATTTAGCGCGCATCTTTGTATATTCTATTTATTCGGTTCACTCGTCGTTCTTTGAGTCTATAGTTCTTTAATTCGCACATGCGTAAATGTCATTTGCTCATTTATGCATCCAATATGTACGCAATTGACATCGTGCAGACACGATGAAAGTTCTAGGCATCGTAATATTGTGCCATTGACCACGCAATTTCGTTCTTTAATTCTATTTTTACACTGGTACCCAATGAGAGCACGAAGAAGCGGTCTTCCTATTGTTATTATGGACCGTCTCCTAATTTATCTTCTTTTGCACTTTGATGTGGTGCACATATGAAGGCTGATCAATTAATTACTATTGTATATCCACACCGAACGACTCGACCTGACCTTTCCTGAATTTTCAAACTCCCTTATTCGACGATAAGAATTGTTTGTTTGGTCATCATTCCATAAAGGAAATTTTATTCAAGAAACAAACTCGGCATGGCCTTGTGAATGTCCCCATACTATTACTTCTGTGAACTAGGTAGAATTTTGATTCCTTGCGAAGAAGCCGGAGAGAATGACCGAATTCTTCCGGCACTGAATTCACGCGCCTGGGCCTTCATTCTCCTCACGTAATTCCTGTTTCGCATGATTCACATCTACCACTGGCAATAATTATAGGCTGATGTTCCTTCCTGAACTGGTGTCATTTGGAACAGCATAAAGAGAAACAAGGAATCTGTGACAATCTAGCAGAACGTGAATGGAAAAGGTCTCCGAGTGACTCTTTGTTATTTCCATTTAGTAATCAACCGGAAATTTGAAACGTTGTTCTAGGAAACCTCGCCCGAGTGCGCAATTTCATTTATGCTTAAAACAACCCCTTTGAACCTTTACAAAGAAGGAAGGTGTTGAGTTCATGAGTTTTACACAAAAGACCTTTGTTTGTTATCCTGAAAAGAAAAGAATTCTTCATATACTGTAACTTTGACCTCTTGGTGCTCGGTTGATCTGATCTCTGAAGAATTATACAAAATGTACTTTGTGTTGAAGTATGGATGGGGATGTATTGTATTCTATTTAGGAAATAAATAATCCTAAGATCACGATGCGCCCTAGTTCCAATACGCCAATAAGAAAGATTTAATATCCCACACAAGTCTACCTTTGGGTAATAAATGGTGTAAACAATTTCCTGAACCAGTGGACAAAGTAACAAGCCAAGTGCTTAATAATCAAAAATCTTTACTTGATTTTGGCACGAAACAAAGAATGTATACTATGAGAATTTCCTGTTTTCAAAAGCATAAAATGCTGCGACTGAAAATGTTAATACTGCGGCGCATGCACCATAATACAATAATAATAATTAAATCTATTATTATTTTTACTGATCATTATTTTTAATAATAGTAATTATTTTATTTTAACTGATTCCTGATGGCAACAAATGTTAAATTATCTTTATTACTAATACCATTGTTAATAATTCAATATTCGTTATAAAGTATAAGTCCTGGTTTAATAAAATAATGTTAACAACAAAATGTTATAAAGCACAAGAGATCAGAAAAACATTTAGATAAAAAGAAAAAGACTTATCATGCAAGAATTGACTTTAAAAAACAAGAATAGAATTTTAACAAGCAATGCAAGTAACTTTAACAAAAATATTCAAACTACCGTATACCACTGCATACAATACCCTGGGTATTAATCAATTTACCCCCTAATAAATTGATTAATACCCAGGGGATATTTTACTAGGAGGAGGGTAGTATTAGTGGCAGGGTATATCATTATTATAAAATTCAAAATAATATTGTCTTACTTATTATTATATTAATAT